CAAAGTTGTTTGTAACCACATATTTTTTATCTTCCAATTTTCTATGTTCTATTTTTAATTCAGGCGGAAAAATGAACAAGCCGTCACGCCTAGACAAATCGGCATCTTCGAAAGAATAAAAAACCTCTCACACCAGACCATAAAAATTACAGACCAAAGCAAGCTTTTAAATATGCAGTTGACAAGAAGGTTTCCGACGATCAACCTATCCGTAAGTACTACACACCTTTTATTTAAATCACGCCCTCTAGCGTGTCTAAGATGTAAATAAATCACACGAACGCCGTTGAAAGCGTGACATCGTTCAGATCTGCAGTCGTCCATCGATGAAGAAATATTTTTGGGGGAGATTTGACTGTATTCCAGCAGACGAACGACTTCAGAGCAATCTATCAGCAAGTATCATTGATTTCAGAGATTAAGTTGAGCATTTCTCGTGTTACGTAATTTATAATACTCCCAATCAGGCGTTTGTATAAGGTGTTCAGAATAGGTCGCAGACATATATTCTGCATGTTGTTTGTGACGTCATAGATTACATTTGCGCATGTCCATTTCGTCACTGTGGGCTGTGTTTGTTACACGTGATTTTTTAAGCCGATTTGTGACGGTTACAGTGGTATAGCGAGTTGCCAGTTTTCACTGGTCGTGAATTCGGTTCGAATCGTATTGCATCTTATAAGTATGTATGTATATTAGATTGAGGGCTCGGCTGATACAGTGAGAAAATCCGAGTTTAGAGCTGGAGTGCAGTTGATTTCTGCGCCCATAGAATACATAGTCTAGTTTACGATTCACGTGCAAGGCGTTCAATATCTTCACTTCTGTATCAATGTTGTGGTTCTTTCTCTGCGCTACAGTAAGAGGCCTGCCACCAAGCTACAGTCCGCCACCTCCCTATCAAAGTAACGAGTGCGTGTTCATGAGCAATGATACTCTCAGGCCACAGACGGCGTCGACGGATGACGGTCAACAGAACGAGCTAATCGACTTGGAGGAGGAGGAAAATGAAGAGGAGCAGGAAACCATAGCAGCCTTACCACTGTCACCGGAGACACAAGGACACGTCGAAGATGAAACACAGAATTTGATGGCTTTATTGGAAGAGATAGAGGTAACAGTATCACTTGATTTCTGGGAAGTCATATAAATACCAATTTGTATAAGTGCACAATCCGTCAATGTCAGTTTATGAAAATGTTTCACGTTGAGCTGAAAACAAAATACACCGCGTATAGTGAAACGCAGAATATTTTCGTTTTGTTTTTCGTATTATTTCAAGCTATGTTATAAACAATGATTTTTCCCTCGTAAACAATGGAACGCTCTTTTCAGTAGTTGTCTGCATTATATGTAAACAAAGAAATCACGGTTATTAAACGTACACAACACAAGATCTGCCTCTAACTCTAGCCAATATATACATACAGGAAGCAACCGCGAATGAAAAAGAGGCGGAGAATGAAGCACTGCGCATGTCCGTTGTTGCGTCATTGGCTAATGACGATCATTCTAAATACGCGGCATTGAACGCTAGTCGTAGAGCTAGTATGAAAGCGAAAGGTAGGTGACAAAATGGAAAAAGATGTTCTCACCCAAAATGTTCCACCACATTGTGTTACTTCTAATGTTCTTATTTTGATCATAATTCATGACTAAATGGTTCAAATAAGGAGGTTATAATAACAGAATATGGTTTGAAATGAAGCGAATGGTTTCCGAACGAAGGGACGAACGCCGATTTGTCATACTTAACTGGCCCATGAGGTTTCGCTGAGTAGTGTACCCAACCGAAAATGATTTACTGGCTCGATTATTTTGTTCAACCAACTTTAAATATTACAAAACGACATTTTTTTTTTATTAATGTTCAATATGTTCAAACTCAAAAATTTTAACATCCTTAATTCAGACGAGAGAAGACGGAGACTGTCGAAGAATTTGAAATACGCCATCAAACTTCGTGATCGGGGAAAACTAGAAAGGTCAGCGCGAGATTTCAAGGCAGCGAAGATTCCTGACCCGGACAATGACCTTGTGAAAGCTGAGAGAATTCTGAAAGAATTCAAAGTGAAAGATGGTAAGATTATTACATGGCATTATCTAGATTTAGGATTATATCGCGTTTATCCGTATGGTTGGTAAGTCAGGGGTAAATTTGTGAGAGAATTATCCCTCTATTCCCGAGTATCTTTGTTATAAATACTTGCTTATGAAACATCTTGAAATCTTCAAGTTGTTAGATGATGTTTTCTGGTTGGCCACCAGTCCGCCATTTTGAATCAAACTCAGAAGAAAAAAATGACACGTTTTATTTCTTAATTTTTTGAATACCGCTATATGATTGAACGTAAAAGAAGACAAAATCTAATATACACACATTTGGTGAATAATTTTAACACGATGTCCGTATTTGAACTCTTTCATACGTTCTAAAATTACGATCTCGTAGCTGTGACAAGCGCCATACTACAATCACTTAGAATGTGTGTTTGACGAGAGCTGAAAATTTAAACCAAACGTGTATTTTAACAGGCCTTCTCGACGCCATCTCGAGGCGTGAATTAGAAGAACTCGAGTGGGCTCTGAGGTGCGTCGAAGAAAATGGATTCACAGAGAGCCTCCACCAGGAAGTAACTACAGCAGTACAGATTGTATGCACGCTGCGACGACTTGAGAAACTCCGACGCGAAATCTTGAATTTGAAGCAGAGTATCTGGGAAGTACATAAATACCCAACACCTAAACCGGAAGTGCATTCTGTGATGAAAGCTGTGTTTGTCTTATTGGGTAAAGACGAAGAAGACGTTAAGGTATATACAGTTTCACTATCGACACCACAGACCCATTCTCATGATTTTTTTTTTTATAAATTAAGTTACATTGAAATAGTTTTAAATGACGTCATTGCGAACTGTGTATAGGGTCAAACTAATGGGGCAATACGTCATTATTTATTCGTGAAAACGAATCGGACACTACAAATTAGTGAACAAAAACTAAAATAGCGACAGACGTATTTATATTGGTTATGGCGTTAAAATGATTTTTTTCTCGAAGTTTTAGTCAAAAAACATCTTCACAACAAATCACCTGAAGTCACAGCGGAGTATGGCAGGTAAAGTGGCAATTGTATCGTATGTTATCCACGTTTATCTGCTTTACGCGCTGAGTGACCTTCTACGATTACGTCAAAATATTGTAATGACGACAAATGTTCTTCTCATCAATATACCCTGAATATACCGGTACACATTCATCTTCCTGTATAATAGTGACGTCATTACTTAGCGTTCTCGTCGTCCTAGCTTTACAACCATTGTCACCCGGAGCAATTTTGTGCTATCGGACATACGAAAAGAGTTTCTGTCTACTTCAACACAACAAACCCATTCCCTTGGGTTATATAAATATCAGAAACGTTTCTATTGGTTGGTGGAATAACAGTTACACTAAATTATCATGATGACTTTGATGTCCATAGACAATATCTGTGTAAGTTGACTGTACGGGCTAGTGTAACTTTAGAGGGCGGGGTCTAAGTAAGGACTAAGTATCAAATTACACGCTTTCACTAAGTAGTTGAAAAAAGTTGATAAAATGGGTGAAGTGGATGAACATAAGACTGGACATATCGTGCGTATATAGTCGTTGGAGTGCACGAGCTTCTATTCCCGAAAAAGATTCCAAGTGTTTGGCAATGGAAAACCAAACAACTCCATGTGACAGGGGTAGCAAGAAAGAACGAACCGTTATCGTTATAGTATACTTTCATTACAATCTCAATAACTATAAAAATCAAGGGAATGGGTTTATTGTTTCGACAGTAGGATGTCGGATGTCTTAGATATTCTTTCATATAAATGCATCTTCACCATTTTTATGTGACATACCACCGTGACATTATATTTATATGTACTGTGGTCAAACGAACAATGAGCAACAATTCCAACCCCACAGCTAGGAGCAAATTGGGACAACCAGACTACTATAAATCCATTAATTATTCACTGGGTTCTAATTTTGCTAGCTTCGCTGATACAAAAAATCTGCTAAATTAAATCTACATGAACATGTAAAATAACAATAAAACTCATTGCTCAAAATAGTGAAATTAAATGTCAGTTTTACAGTAACTATGCACATCGATTTTAAATACGCACTGTCACCGATGAGGGCGCTAACATACGAGTGTATTTGCTCTTCTAATTTCGAGATACATACTTTCAATTGACTAGAACTGGAAACAAGTTCAAGTGTTGATGGGTAAACTTGGAAGAAAGAGTCTGAGGTACCTTATAATGACCTGTGACATAGCTACTATTCCTGCGTGGAGAGCACAGACAGCTAATAAGATTCTTGGAAAACTAACATTGGATCAAGTGAGAGACGTCAGTGCGGGCGCTACAACATTCTATATCTGGGTGAGTTCTAAACGATACGTCTTCACCAGACTAACACACAACACACGATAGATGTATAGTTAGGTTGCAGGATGTTGCCACTGGAACAGTCCGACCAACCATTTATTCTTTACTCATTTTCAAAAACACCATTCCAAAACAACCAGACGGTTTAAAACCGCTAAAACTAATTTAAAAACAAAGTAAAAAAAAACATCGTACCAAATACCGCAAAATATTGCCGCGGCTAAAACCGTAGGACACCGCGATAATCACAATTGCTGATATAATGCAGTTTAATATTTATCTTTCGATTGTAGTTTACATTTAATTGACAATGATTTTTCATATTTCGCAAACATAATCTATGTAATGCTTGTTTTTACAGAGGTACGAGAAATAGTAAATATATTATTTAGCTGAGAGCTACAATATATGTGTAATTGTTCTGGTGGAAATAATCACTTCACCGCTAAGAATAACTTCGCCCTCTGTTTCCGAAATTGACATTTGCTTCGAATCACTTGGCATGGATCACTAACGACAGTCTTTATCTTTTTTATTCTGATTTTAGTTGTGTGGAATGTCCAACGAAGTCGTCATGCGTGCTAGAGATTTTACTGCCGATGAGGGCGAAAGTGAAGAGGCAGCCAATATAGCCCAGAAATACCGAAGACGATTAAAGAAGATGAGAGAAACTGGTCTGTAATATGAAAAGGAAGAAAATGATGTCCCGCTAGAAATACGCTTTGTTGCTGTACAAATATTTGTATCATTGAGTGTATGTTCTAATTTTTAAACACGAACTTCCTTTGAATAGCGCCTTGAATAGTGATGAAGCGATTATGCTACGTCATAATCACGATGTATAAACGCAATGTCATTGGATAATAGACCTCATTAAAGGCAAAAAACGCGAGACCGCGCCGAGAGTGGGGCGGGGGGCAACTATAATTGTTCTTTTCCTACAACCGAATATAGTAACTGTTACTGTGCAGTTATTAATATTCTATTTTCTGATTTGTAAATTTATATTTTAAATAGTGAAAAAACTTTCGAACTAATTTCATAAAAACCTCTTATACTATATGTTCTACATTACATGTATGTTTTAAATTGTGGATTGTTTTTGTTGATTGATATTATATGTATCCCAAAACTTGAAAGAATTTACGTCATGCACGCTGGGTCAGTCAATGCAGTTGTGTCGAATACGATGTATTGAATGTAGTCGTAGACAACAGATCCGCAGTGACCATAGTCCGCTAACATAACATTATCAATCACAATCTTTATCCGAATGCCAATCATTGTGATATTGACTATATGTCATTCGACATTGTTCGATTTTTTATTTTCTTTCATTTTAAAGCGGGAGGGGAGGTTGTCAAATTGAGTCCAAAAAACGCAAAGTAGACGCTTGTTTGTAAACAATAACACGCTATGGCCATCTGACGCATGCGCAGGTGATGGCTCCCCCGCTTTAAACAAAAATGATTATAAGGCTTTACGTTGATCTCAATAAAGTCTCACACCCTGGCATATTCCAAGAATGATATTAAATCACTATAAATGAATTACATTTTTCCAGTTGCGTTGCAGTGTTGCAAAAAATTAAATAGTGGAATCTATTGCTTTAATATGAAAGCACTTCCGCATTGACGCTGCAGGTCGGCGTCTTCTACACGTCTGTGCTGGAACAGCGCTTCCTGTGACGACACAACAAGCACTTCCGTCAATGCTTTCAGTGCCAGGATGTGTGCTTTAAAATCTGTGTGTGCATGCAGTTTTTTACATGTGTATACAATTGAAGTAGATTCAGAATGACTTTTGTATTTTTTTAGATGATAATTCGTGACATTTTCTTGCCACTGTCAGATTCTTTATATTTACAGATCTGTTTGTCGAGTGATATGATGTGATGATTTATTTTTTTATTTATAGTTTTGTTGCTTTTGTGGGTAGAAATAATAAATTCTCGTTAATATATTCATGCTTTTCTAGACTGTAACAGGGATAATGAACAGTTTCTTGTGGGTTGTCAACGGCTCATACTTATTCATTTTTTTTAAAAAGAGCATGCACATTTCCAAAGGGGTTTACTGTACTACAAGTCGTGTGTTTACATTTAGTGTTACATGTACTAGTATATCAAATGGACACTTGAAGGATTATCTTTATTACAACCAGGTACGAACAAGGACTACAAAATGGCGGATAATTATCACACATTTTCGAACAAAAATGCCATGTGACACAAAAACCTGCAAATGTTCTATTTCTCAAAGAAAACGTGAAATGCGGGAACTCATAATTTAGGAAAATAATTTCATGTTCCGAGGTCTAATTAGAAATCTGCAGTTATTTCAACCAGGTTCGCACAAAACACTTATAAATTTCATTTGATGTGTGTCTCTAATTTTGTTTTCATCAAGTCAATTTCCAGATTTGAAACATTCTACAGTATTTATAGTAATAAAACAATATTGTCTTATCTTTACACCGTTATTGTTTAGTCTGTGACTATTTTACCGCCGTAATGTATAGTACGAATGTCCAAGATGCAGACCAATATCCCAAAACAAGTAGAGGTATTCTAACGAAGTTATACAGCAATTTTTTCTAAAAGTCTACGAGTCATGTTCGCCTTTAAATTGGTACCGTTCGTAATGATTTTGTGGATACTGCTTGTCAGATGAAAAAGTTGTTTCTGAAATATTTGCACTTCAACGTACGCGAACTATTCCATAATGTATCGGCAACGGAGCACGTTCATTCATAGCAGAGGATTTTATAAATTCATGTAGCTATTTATAAATTAATCCCAGTACAGATTACTAGTATATTTCATGTGTGTATTACAGTTCAATTCATTTCTAGATACTAGGTTGACGACCCATAATTTAAATGGTGCTGTTTTCTCGACTTTAGATGTTTTCACCTGCTCTTCGACCTGCACACACATACGAGCCCATATAAATGCATGGTACAGTGGTGCGTAGTCTGTGACGTAGCTCCGACCCCGAGAATCGATTGGAATTTGTGTTGTTTTACTATAATGTTCCAGTATATTGGGCTACTTAGTATGCTTTTCTGCAGACATAAGTGCAAGGATATGTCAATATATCTATCCCGTTTCGTTCGCCTATACCTTATTTGTCGTGGAATTAATTATGTGACTGGCCAGTTCATGTGGGGGCTGTGTCAGCGTAATTTACATCCATCCTCGCCTACAACGGATTATGGATGTAGCCAAAATAACACCGGAAGCTACGGTTAAACGGGTATGTCTGCCATTTTGTTCCGATACTGAGTACAAAATGCTCCGTCTTACATTGAGGTACGTATAATCAATTTTATACTTTTCTTTAAGGGACGTCATGAGCTAAGGGTTTCACAATTTGTTTTGTAATCAATGTAAATCTTGTTCAAATTTAACTTTGTGCGTCCAAACGAGTGAATGCATTGTATGCCGTGTAAAATGGCGTGCATTTATGATAGCTACATGCAGACAGGTGGATTAATTGTTGGCCAAATTTTCTCGCTGTTTTAGTTCTGTTGTTTATGATTGGAAAATTTTAATATAGCTAAACACAAATACAATAGAACCAGGTTTCCTAAAAGTCTTTAGAACCAACCTCTCACAACCGCCGTGACCAAAAATAAAAATGTTATTTTATTATTAAATTTATTTTTCTGAATTTTAATTAGCAACCAGAAAACAACAAACACTTTAAAAAAAATCATTCGACCCCTAACCCCCGCTCGCTCTCCGTCCCAATCTCTCATAGCTGTCATGACCAAAAAATAAACAATTAATTTTTCTAATAAACAATATTGTGGAATACTTTATTTTCGCTGGAATTAATTTTCGCTGAAAAGGCTTTTTGGGCGTTTTGTATGAAATTTATTTTCACTGATCTTTGATGAGTTTAATGTC